CTACATCAGATGTTACCCTAACAATTGCTAAGTCAATTAGTGGAAATCTATTATCTCTGGGATCTAAAAAACAGTTTCACTGGGTAACTGGTATTTGTGGTTGAAACAAAGATAGAGTTGAGATTTCTTCACCTACATCTTTTTGTAGAAGATAAAGTATTTTCTCAACATAAGAACAGTGTGTAGAAAGGTTATCACTAAGAGAAATGGGGGAAAAGGAGGCTACCATTTATATAAAAATAATACATATTCATATAAGTTGTTGGGTTATATGTGGAAGGATTCCTTAAGAAACTACTGACTATGGTTGCCTTAAGGAGAGGAACAGGGAGGATGGCTGGGTGATGTGGGCAGGAAGGAGACTTAGCTTCTGTTACCATGTGCAAGAATTACCTATTCACAGCAGTTAATAAACAAAGAAAGGAGCCCTAGTTGGTTTGGTTCACTGGATAAGGTGTCGGCTTGGGGACTGAAGGGTCCCAGGTTTGATTCCAGTCAAGGGCATGTACGTTGGTTGCAGGCACATCCCCAGTAGTGGGTGTGCAGAAGGCAGCTGATGGATGCTTCTCTCTCTCGTTAATGTTTCTAACTCTCTATCCCTCTCCCTTCCTCTCTGTAAAAGATCAATAAAGTATGAAGGAAGGAAGGAAGGAAGGAAGGAAGGAAGGAAGGAAGGAAGGAAGGAAGGAAGGAAGGGAAGAATAGACTGAATGTGAAAGAAAGAAAGAAAGAAAGAAAGAAAGAAAGAAAGAAAGAAAGAAAGAAAGAAAGAAAGAAAGAAAGAAAGAAGAAAGAAAAGAATGAAAAGAATGAAAAGAAAAGAATAGACTGAATGTGTAAGCTATAAGGTCAGGTGACCTAAGAATTGACCTTTGGTTGCTTGGTCTGGACATTCCAGGCATCTGACTGTTTTAATTTGTGGGCCCAGCCTTGTGCTGTGCTTTTTCTTTGAAGAGGAAAACATAGAAGTTCTTCACAACAGGAGTACATTCTGTCCTTAACTACCTAGAGAATTTGATTAAAAAACTCAGGGAAAAAATTAGTTTAGCTTTTAATTAGCTGAATATGGTGCTGGTAAATGGACAGCCCTGTGGATTATTAGAATCTTATTTTCCTCGTTGAACTGATGGGAATATTCATTAGACTTCCTATTGATGAGAAGACTGATTCTTTGTTTTGATTTTACATGTGATGAAATTTGCCATAGAGCTTTATATTTGAAAGTGTTTTACATCAATTAAGTTTCAAATTATATTTGAAAGTGTTTTATATCTATGGAACTAATCAGGTACAATGTTTATGGAATAATTTGAATTTGCCCTCCTTTCATTTAACAGGCTTGAAACCATACTGTGTTTTCTAAACTGTTAGTATCGGCAAAAATAGGCATAGGTTATAACAAATTTTGCTGGTTGTATAGCTCTTAAAAGGCAGATGCACATGCGAGCTTATATTTCTGGATCAGACTGTTCTGAATACCATAGTTCTGTTCAAGTAAGCATAAATTTGTCATTTTTCCAGCTCGGGTGATATTAATGTCAGTGCCAGGGTGCTAATGTTATACTCCTTCTTCCTGGCTCTCCATTGTCTACTGAGTAAAGTCCAGACTTTTTTAGTATGGTATTTCAAAGCCTTTTATGACCTTGCTGGCACATTTTTCTGTTTCCTATACCTGCCCTACCACAAAAGCATTGTTCCTTTACATGTGTTGAGCTCTTCCATTGCTCTGCTCATAATGTTCCATCTGCTGGAAATTCTTTTTATTTATTTTTTGTGTCTTCCTATCCAACTTTAGCTCATCTTTCCAAGTCCTAGGTATAATGTTCTATATTCCATGAAGCTTTCTCTGATTCCACTCAGCCAAAAGTATACTTACAACATTCTCTTTTAGGACGATTTGTGTATATGGTGGATTTTGTCTCCCTAGGGAGACTAACTGCTCTCTGGAGGCTGGGCTTTTTTTAGCCATCACTCTGGCCATATACCGTATTTTCCGGCGTATACGACGACCCACTAATTTTACAGTTAAAACATAAGTTTAGGCCTATATTCGCTGTATAAGACTACCCCCCCCCCCCCCCCCCTTCAAAGAAAAGACTTACTTTGCCGTCAAGATCTGCAGGTAATTTTTGTGCAATTTTGGTCTTTTGCCCCCGATTTTCGGTTGACTTTTTTTCGTTTCAAAAGTCGTCTTATATGTCGGAAAATACGTTATATTCCCTCACACAGTAGGAACTCAGTTTATGTTCATTGAGTGAATTGTCCGTGGGCAATCTTGAAAGTGTCTTCAATTTGCTTGACCTTTCCTTCCCAGATAACTATTTGAGCCTACCTATTATCTGTAACAAACAACTCTGAAACAAAAAAAAAACATTTCACCCCATGTTAATATAGTTAGTAAGTTTATGGTCTGAGAAAATCCGTGCCTTTTAAACCTCAGAGGGCAGGTGTATTAACAAACTACAGAATTTTCAAATAAATGAAGAATTCCATTACCTCACTATTGCTGTTGATGAATTGGCCTCTGACGACACTCAAGCATCAAAACACACAGCTCTTTTTAGGTGAGAGGCTGACATGAGTGATTTGATTAGCCTTAAGAAAAAAATCTTATGAAAAGGACTGAACTTTCCCCAGTTTGTTTCTGCCTTGGAGTATGCCCTATATCATATAAAGTGGCCAAATCTTTTTCCGTGACTTGTTTTTATTGTCACAGTGTTATTTCTTAAGCACAAACTGCGTTCAGAGGTGCAACTTTAGAACTATCGCATCAGCAATTCCCAAGGTTGGAAGGGACATTAAAGATCAGGTAGTCACATGGCTGAGTTCTCACAAAATATGTCTTCACTCTTCAAAAATCAGTAGTTCTCTATTTTTTGAGGTTATTCATTCCATCATTTGAATATTTAGAAACTCCCCTGTTAGAAAGTTTTGCTTTTAATATTCAATGCTGAGTAATTATTTCTCTTTCTGTGAACCTCTCATTGCTTCTGATTCTAACTCTTAAGCAGTCTAATTACTGTTCTACAATATTTAAGACAACCCTCCTGTTTTTTCCAGGTTAAATATCTTCTGATCTTTATCTTTTCCTTTTGTCTCTTAAAAATATAATGTTCAGCCCTAGCTGGTTTGCTCAGTGGATTGAGCATCTGCCTGTGGACTGAAGGTTCCCAGGTTGATTCCGGTCAGGGACACATGCCTGGGTTGCAGGCTCGATCCCCAGTAGGGGGCATGCAGGAGGCAGCTGATTAATGATTCTCTCTTATCATTGATGTTTCTAACTCTTTCTTCCTCTTCCTCTCTGAAATTAATAAAATTATTATATCAAATATATATATGTAATGTTTAAAACTATGGACAGTATTCCTATTAGAATCTAATCTGTGCTGAATAGGAAATCTTACTTTATGCATTGAAGATCCTATATTTCGCCGAAGCTGCTTTGGCTCAGTGGTAGAGTGTCGGTCTATGGACTGAAAGGTCCCAGGTTCGATTCCGGGCAAGGGCATGTACATTGGTTGTGGGCACATCCCCGGTAGGGGGTGTGCAAGAGGCAGCTGGTCGATGTTTCTCTCATCGATGTTTCTAACTATCTCTCTCCCTTCCTCTCTGTAAAAAAACAATAAAATATATTATATATAAAAAAAAGATCCTATATTTCCATTACTGTATCTAAAATTGCATTAATTTGGGGAGCATCTTCCTCTTCCTCTTGATTCCCTTAAAACTTATACTGTTAATTAAGCCTGTAAGACTTTCTGTACCTTTACAATTGTTTGCTGTTGTTGTTTTGTTAATCCTCACCTGAAAATATTTTTTCCATTGATTTTTAGAGAGAGTGGAAGGGGGGGGGGAGAGAGAGAGAGAGAGAGAGAGAGAGAGAGAGAGAGAGAGGAGGGGAAGGAGGGAAGGAAGGAAGGAAGAAGAGGGGAGGGGAGAGGAGGGGAGGGAAGGGGAGGAGAGAGGGGAGGGGAGGGGAGGGGAAAGGAGGGAAGGGGAGGGGAGGGGAAAGGAGGGGAGGGGAGAGGCACTGATTGATAGCTTCCCGTAGGTGTCCCATCTGGGGCCAGGGATTGAACCTGCAGCCCAGACATGTGCCCTTGACCAGGAATCCTATCTGCAATTCTTTGCTGTGTGGGCCAGTGCTCTAACCACTGAAAATCACTGGCCAGGGCTACAGTTGTTCTTTTAGGCCGAGATTCAGGACCTTAGCTTTATTCTTGTTCAAATTCATTCTGTTAGATTCAGCTAGTTGAAACAGCTTGTTGAAGTATTTTTGGTTCATGGTTGGGTCATCCAGCATATTTGTCTTCCTGCCCAGCTTCTTGTCATCTGTAAATTTGATAAGTATGTTTTCTTTTCTCCATCTTAGTTACTAAAAGAAATGTTGAAGCAGACAGGATGGAATCATTCCATTGTGCCAGGCTATTGCTAGTAGATTTTAATGGGCAGGATCAATTGTTTATGGGTAGTTTTGTCAGTTTAAACTGAATATTCCATATTTATAGCAGGAATTATCTTTTGGGAAAGTTGTCCTATTGTAACTGCTTAGTAACTAATGGAAGATAATAGAAATAGGTAAAGTATGGTCATGAAAATGAGATGAGGAACTATCTTGGAAGTTGATAACCCTGTTTATATTCTTTGTTTGTTTTGTTAATCCTCACCTGAGGATATTTTCCCATTGATTTTTAGGGAGAGTGAAAGGGTGGAAGAGGAGAGGAGATGGGGAGGTGGAGAGGAGGGAGGGGACTATATTAAACCTCAGTAAAAGTTTCTTATTACTATATTTAAATTTTTATTTTATTGTTTAAAGTATTACAAATAGTAGTACATATAATCTCCTTTTTCCCCCATTGACTTACCCCCGGCCTCCATCATTTCTAGTTTTTTTATTCTGTGCTCTGCTGAAATCACTCAGATGAACTGTCCTTCAGGGGAAATGTGTGATGTGAAAAATGGAAACAGCCAGTGACCCTTTATCTCTTCTTCCCACACAGGATGTGTCTAGTCCGAATGAAGCAGGAAGGCCGGACTGGGAAATACATGTGTCGTATCATAGTTCATTTTATGTGGGAAGATGTTGAGCAGCGTGGCAGAGTCATGGGGGTAAGTGAGTACTTTAGATTCTGGTCCTGAAAAACTCCAATGAGGGATTGAGTTGAAGTTTTATCTATTTTATTTTTCAATTACAGGTTTACATTCAATATTGTTTTGTATTAATTTCCAGTGTACAACATAGGGGTAGACGATCATACACTTTTCAAAGTGGTCTCCCTGATATTTCAAGTACCCACCAGGCACTATACAAAGTTATTACAATATTATTGACTATATTTTCTATGCTATACTTTACATCCCCATGATTATTTTGTTACTACCAATTTGTACTTCTTAATTCCATCACCATTTTCATTCATTCCCTCAACCCCCTTCCCCTCTGGCAACCATCAGTATGTTCTCTGTATCTATAAGTCTGTTTCTATTTTGTTTATTTTGTTATTTAGATTCCACACATAAACGGAATCATATGCTATTTGCCTTTTTCTGTCTGACTTATTTCACTTAACGCAATCCCTCTAGGTCTATCCATTTAATCACAAATGGTAAAATTTCATTCTTTCTTTATATCTCTGCCTAATATGTTTATCACACCTTTTTTTTTAATCTATTAGTCTATTTTGGGGCACTTTAGTTGCTTCCATATTTTGGCTATTGTAAATAATGCTGCAATGAACATAGGGATGCATATATTCTTTTGAATTAGTGTTTTGGGTTTCTTCAGATATATATACAGAAGTGGATTCACTGGGTCATAAATCAGTTCCATTTTTAATTTTTTGAGGAAACTCCGTACTGTTTTCCATAGTGGCTGCACCAATCTGCATTTCCACCAACAGTGCATGAGGTTTCACTTTTCTCCATATCCTCACCAATAGTTGTTGCTTGTTGATTTATTGATGATAGGCATTTTGACAGGTGTGAGGTACTATCTCATTATGATTTTAATGTATATGGGTTAATATAATATGGTTTCTTTCATTACAGAGCAGAGCTCTCCCTATAGATTGAGAAGTAAACTAAGTTTATAGATGTATTATAAAGTCATACATGTTCATAAAATAACATGTTTAGGGACATTGAATATCTTTTCATATATCTGTTAGCCATCTGTTATGTCCTCTTTGGGGAAGTGTCTATTTGGGTCCTCTGCCTATTTTTTTAATTGGATTATTTGTGGATTTTTTTGGTGGTGTTATATGAGTTTCTAAATTTTGGATATTAACCCCTTATTGGATGTATCATTGCTGAATATCTTCTCCTATTCAGGGGTTATCTTTTATTTTGGTGGTTTCCTTTGCTGTGCAAAAAAATTTTTCATTTGATATAATTCCATTTGTTTATTTTTCTTTCATTTCTCCTGTCCAAGGAGATATGTTAGCAAAAATATTGGTAAGAGAAATATCAGAGATTTTACTGCCTAAGTTTTCTTCTAAGAGTTTTATGGTTTCGAGTATTATAGTTAATTCTTTAACCCATTTTGTGTTTATAGAATGGCTTGGCTTGTAGATTTCTGTGAAATGTTGAATAATGCCAAGTAGTAATTCAGCTAGAGTCACTTTGCCTCAATGGAGACAGACATGCCATACATACTTTATATGTTTGCACACATAATCATGTTTTGTCAGTGAGGATATCCTCTGTGTGGAATTGTTAAACCCAAATCATGGTGATAGGAGAGATGGATTTGGTGAATGGAGGAAATCAAGTAATAATCCAGTTTAAACATGTTACACTTTTGATACTGGTTCAATGTTTGAACCAGTCCTCCTCTGATTAAGTTTGGATGAAAATTCCCTGGCAATGGACCTGCACTGTGCTCAGGAATGGAAAAATAGGCAGCTTGATCACCAACAAGCTAGAATACTTTGGCAAGGTACTACTGAAAATGTACATTAGTACATTTAATAATTAAGCTGAAAAAGGAGAATATATGACATATACACTGAGTGGCCAGATTATTATGATCTCTGAATGCATAATCTGGCCACTCAGTATATATGTGTGCATGTGTGCGTGCGTGCGTGTGTGCGTGCGTGCTTGTGTGTGTGTGTGTGTGTGTGTGTGTGTGTGTGTATTCATGCATGAATTCATGCATGGGTGGGGTCTGGCCAGCCTGGCCAGGGGGAGGGACATGGTTGGCCAGCCTGCCTGCTGGTTGAACTCCTGGTCGAGTGGACAATTTGCATATTAGCCTTTTATTATTGCATATTGGCCAGATTATTATGCATTCGGAGATCATAATAATCTGGCCACTCAGTGTATGTATGTATAATAGAATGATGACAACAGAAAAATGAAACAAAAAAATTAGAATATAGTTGGTTAAATAAATAATACTCTTTTTGTGTACTTTGTGAATTTTTATGTGTCTAGACCATGTTATAATAGATGTAGTTGCTTGTTTTTTTTTCTCATTTTGTTACCTCCCAGGTTGGGGGCGTCTAAAACAAAATCATCAGACAGGGTGACAAAATGGATTAATTTGGTTTTGTTCATTATAGAGCAAAGTTCTCCCTGTTGATAAGTTTATAGATGTATTATAAAAGTCATATATAGAATAAAAATCAAACAGTAAAAAACATTTAATGTAAAAAACAAGTGTCTTTCTCCAGTCCAACTTTCCAGAAGTCATCATTGTTTAAAATTGATGTGTTGCCCTGGCTAGTATGGCTCTGTTGGTTGAATATTATCTCGTGCACCAAGGGGTCCTGGTTTGATTCCCAGTCAGGGCACATGCCCAGATTGCAGGTTTGGTCCATGGTCAGGGTGCCTATGGGAGGCAACCGATTGATGTTTCTCTCTCACATCAGTGTTTCTCTCTCTCTCCCCACCCCCCAACCTGCCCTCTCCCTCTCACTGTTCTCCTTTTCTCTTTCTCTAAAATCACATATTTAAAAAAAGAATTGATGTGAATCTTTCTAGTTTTCTTTTAACATAACACAAATGGCTTATACTATATACACTGTTTGCATCTTGGCCTTTTTATGTAATATATATTAGATATGGTATACCTTTATAATTGTTTTCAAAATTCAAAATGTTTTAACTAAGACTAAAATCCCTTTAATCATTAATCTCAATCCTGGTCAGTTACCTCCTTTCAAAAAGTAATCACTGTTTCTACTTTGGTATTTATCTTTTAAGGCTTTTTCCTGTCTTAGCTGGCTTGGCTCAGTGGATAGTGTCGGACTGGACTGAAAGGTCCCAGGTTCGATTCCGGTCAAGGGTACATGCCTTGGTTGCGGTTCGATCCCCAGTTGGGGGCATGCAGGAGGCAGCCGATCAGTGATTCTCTCTCATCGTTGATGTTTCTCTCTCTCTCTCTCTCTCTCTCCTTTTCCCTTCCTCTCTGAAATCAATAAAAATATGTTTTAAAAAAAAGACTTTTTCCTATCTTATATATAAAAAATTCATAGTATTGGTTTTGTGTGTATATATTTTATTATGTATGACATCATCCTCTGTATACTTATATGCAACTTTCTTTTTCACTCAATAATATGTTTTGGAGGTTTTTCCATGCTGCCTGGGTGTTAGGTGGGCCATATTTACCCATATTTTACTCTTATGTATTATAATTATTTTCACATACTCCTATGTTATTGCCTAATGGTTTCCTGTGTTTACTATATATGTAAAATTGTAGTCTTTGAGACTTACTTATGGAAATGATTGTTGCCTACTGAGAGTCTGGATTGAGAGTATTTTCAAATTCTCATATCTAGAAGATCTGCATGTACAGGAAGCACAATGGATTATTTTGCCTCTTGGCTAAGATCAAGTGTAGAAAGCACGGTGGACATGGGTTTACTTACCTTTAGAATATTTTATTGATGTTTATATGCCTTTCTCTGGGATGACAGACCATTGGCATGTCTGTTTATTCTAAGATGAGAATATATATCAAGAGTTTTAGCTGTTATCATTGTCATCATCATCATCATCATTAGTTTTGGAGCCAGTATTAAATTGTAATTGTGCTGTTTGGTTCCTTTTTCATTTTTCTCCCTGTCATGCCTTCCTGCTGTCTTAGCTGCCCAGTGTAGGATCAGCAGCACTTTTAGGTATTCATACAGATGAGTGTTCCACATATTCTTACGTACTTACTCCCCATCTCTGTGGCAGCACACAGTGGACACAGGGGAGTGTTAGTCTCAAAGCATCCCACTAATAATGACCAGTAAGTAATACCCGAAAGCATAGGCTGACCGCCATGCCAGTTATACAGTAGCTCTTCTATCAGCCTGTTTTTTTTTTTGTTGTTGTTGTTGTTTTTACAGAGAGGAAGGATAGAGAGCTAGAAACATCAATGAGAGAGAAACATCGGCCAGCTGCCTCCTGCATCCCCCCCCCCCCCACCTGGGGATGTGCCCGCAACCAATGTGCATGCTCTTAACCGGAATTGAACCCTGGATCTTTTAGTCCGCAGACCAACGCTCTATCCACTGAGCCAAATCAGTTTTGGCTGGCCTGTTTTTCTTATCACTGTTGATTAACTCTGCTGGAAGTTGGGCCACTAGAGCACTGTGGGCCACACTTTGTCCCTATCCTAAGTAGCTTAATGAGCCATAGATTATTGATTCTGGACCTCAGGAATCTTTTAGTTGCCCCCTCTCCATGAATTTTCTTTCGTACCTCCATATATATCTACATCTCGGTATTCAACATTTTGAATCATCTCCTATATTACTGTATAATGTCCCTTCTGTTTAACTGTATGTTTTATAATGGCAAGAGACTTGTCTTACCCACAATTTTTTTACTTAGACAGTTAAGATTGGATGAATAAACTTCAGCCTCTGCAATTCTGTTTTAAAATCCACTTATTTACCAGAGAAATCATATTTGCCTTAATTTCTGGTCCAGGTGTACATCCATATAGTCCTATAGGAAATAGTCTTTCCTTTTTTTCCCTTTCATTTTATTCAGCCATTTTTACTATCTGAATTGTTCTAGATATAATGCTGCCTATTGAGAGTGTGTTAGATCAGTGTTTCTCAAATTTAACATACTTACAGTTCACCTGGGGATCTTGTTAGAATGCA